GCAGAGGCCTCCTGGAGGAGCAAGGGGGCCCAGCCCCACACCAGACACCCAGCCCAGGGTCCCAGAGCTGGGAAAAGGAGTCCCTATGGGCTGTAAAAACCAGTGTGGATTGGGGCTCAGTGACACAGAGCTGTTACTCTTAAAAGTCCAGCACCACAAACTGAACTTACAAGGTCCTGCTTCCTCTGAGCTCCAGAGCCAGGGTGAGGCTCTGAGGGACACAGACACATATAAGGAGGAATTGGACTGTCTGGCATCGGGGCAGGAACTTGGGGGTGACTTTCTCCCATATGGAGGTGCTGGCAGGGATAATTGTTCCTATTCTAGGACCTCCCAGGTCACAGGGATGACTGGCAGCTATTTCTGTTTGCTCCATCCTGGTGATTCCCTAAGACCCCACCTCATCCAATTTACAACCACACCCAAGCTGTGTGCAGCAGCTTTTGCATATAAATGGCCTGTCTTTGATCAAACAAACTGCAGCTGGGTCAGAGAGCCACAAACCTATCAATAAAAGGCCCAAGACCCAGCACCAACCAGCCTGCTTTGCTTCACAGCTGGGCCTCATCTGGGCACTTCCAAACCTGATACAAAGAGGAGGAATCTGCAGATCTCTCTGTAGCTCCTGCTGGGTGGCCCCAGGCAGTGGCTGACTTTGCACTTCCCTGGAGACCCAAGAGCCAGTGTACCCAGTGGTCAGTGTCAGACCATATCAGATTACAACTCTACATATCCATAAGTGACATACTCAAGGGGCAGACTCAGTGAGCACCAAAGCCCCACTGAAGCAAGTCCTGCTTCATTAGAGGCGTTTCCTGCACAGCAGCTCTCCCACTGTAGTCTCAGCTGGTCCTCACAGCCAATTGGCTTGCAGGTCAATTCCTCCCAGTGCCACCAACAGCAATCAAGTCTCAATTACAACAAGACTGTACTCACAGCCCACAAAGAGGTGCACCTAGAGTGCCCAGCTCAGGTGACTGGAGAGGCTGAGCCACGGGGCCCTATAGGATACCCACTACACAAGGCCACTATACCAACTCAAGGAGACATGGCAGCTCTACCCAATACATAGAAACAAACACAAGGAAGTAGCCAAAATGCTGAGACAAAGAAACATGTCACAAATGAAAGAAATGGAAGAAAGCAAACTACTGGATATAGAGTTCAAAACCACAATTATGAGGTTATTCAAGAATATTCTAGAAACCTCCAAGGGACTTAGTGAGACTTTTAATGATCTTAGTGAGAATGCAAAAAAAAAAATGGAAAAGGATTAGTAAAAAATTAAGCATACACTGACTGACAGGAGTCAACAGTAAAGGATTCTGAGAATCGAATCAACGATTTGAAATATGAGGAAGCAAAAAACACCCAACCAGAACAGCAAAAAGAAAAAAGAACCCAAAAATATGAAGATAGTGTAAGGAGCCTCTGGGACAATTTCAAGCATTACGGGGATTCCAGAAGAAGAGAGAGAGCAAGATATTGAAAACCTATTTGAAGAAATAATGACAGAAAACTCCCCCTACCTGGTAAAAGAAATAGATTTATAAGTCCAGGAAGCACAGAGAGTCCCAAACAAGAGGAACCCAAAGAGGACCATACCAAGACACATCATAATTAAAATGCCAAGGGCTAAAGCCAAAGAGAGAATCTTTAAAAGCAGCAAGAGAAAAGCAGTTAGTTACTTACAACGGAATGTGCATATGACTGTTAGCTGATTTCTCAACAGAAACTTTGCAGGCTAGAAAGGAGTGGCAAGAAATATTTAAAGTGATGAATAGCAAGGACCTACAACCAAGATTACTGTACCCAACAAAGTTATGATTTAGAATTGAAGGTCAGATAAAGAGCTTCACAGACAACAACAAAAAAAAGCTAAAGGAGTTCATCACCACTAAACCAATATTATGTGAAATGTTGAAGGGTATTCTTTAAGAAGAAGAAAAAGATAAAAAATATGAACAACAAAATGGCAACAAATACATACCTATCAACAATTGAATCTAAAAATCAAAATAAAGGAATAAGAAATCTAATGAACAGAATAAACTGGTGAATAAAATAGAATCAGAAGCATGGAAATGGGATAGACTGGCGATTCTAAGAGGGAACAGGGGTGGGGAGTGGGAAGAGATTAAACAAAGATCTTATATGCATATATGCATTACCTATGGACACAGACAATAGAGTGGTGAAGGGAGGGAGTGGGGCGGGATCTGGGTGGAGGAGGGCAATGAGGGGAAAAAGGGACATCTGTAATAATCTCAACAATAAAGTTTAAAAAGTAATAATAATAAGTAAATAAAAAGAAATACTTCCATTTAAGGCAATAAGGATGGGCCTCGAGAATATTATGCTAAGGAAAGTAAGTCAGTCACAAAAAGCTAAGAACCACATGATTTCTCTCATATGTAGGATATAAAACTGAAACTCATAGCCACAGACAACAGTATGGTGGTTACCAGAGGGAAGGGGGTGGGGGCTAGCAAAGAGTAAAGGGGGCCAAATATATGGTGACCAAAGATTATTTGACTTTGGGTGGTGGGCATACAATCCAATATATGATTATGTATCACAGAAATGTACACTTGAAACCTATATGATCGTATTAACCTATATCAGCCAATAAATTTTTAAATAGATGCAAATAAAAAAATTATATAGATTTCAATTGTACATTTCTATAACACATGCTCTGTATAATGCATTGCATGCCCACCACCCAAAGTCAAATATAATCTTATTAAATAATATGCAATCTTATATAATCTTAATAATCAATGTCACCCCAATAAATTTAATTTAAAAATAAAAATTTTTTAAATATTACACAAACTCACAGCTTCATGTACTAAATTTGTTTTCCTATTTAGCCATTTATCATTAAGCAAATGAGCCAGATAAGCTCCCCAAATGAAATGTGGTTTTGAAAGAGATTAGGGTTCTAAGTAGGAGCTGAATTTAAACACTAACAGCACTAAATTAAGAGACAGGACAGATAAGAATGTTTACCATTTTGCCTGGTTCTGTACCATTTATAGATACTTCCATTGCTCTGAGTGGTTTTTGTACTAGTGGGTAAGTGGAAACCTATATAAAAAGCTATCTCCAAATGCCATAAAGATGAGTAATCTAAATATAAAGTTGTTCAAAGTCATTTTTGCAGCAATATGTGGGCAAATTTTCCATGAGAGGCAGCTTACAAACAGGATTTAGATCTTTATATCTCTAATTAGATATCTGGGGTAGAATTAGAAGAAGAGTTTAGATTCAAAAGTTATTTTTTATTGTGACAGTCATGAAATATTGAGAGATCAAAAATGCTTTAATCCAAAATTATAATCACATTATAATTTTTTACATTCCCATAACTATTGCTAATTCTACTATCAAAATAGTTGATCTCTTGTTGGGGTGTGTATGGGAGGCAACCGATCCATGTTTGTCAGTCAAATTGATGTCTCTCACTCTCTCTCTCTCTCTAAAAATCAATAAAAACATATCCTTGGGTGAGGATTAAAAAAGAATTGTGGAAACTAATTCTTTTTTTTTTCTCATTGACTTAGCATACTATTAGGTAATCAGAAATTAGATGATTTGTTCCAGATCAAAGTGGCTAAGCCAGGATTTGAACCCCATTCAATTTGACTACAAGGCCCCTGATTATGGCCCTTTTTACTTTTTCATAGTGTGTTATAAAGATTATATGATACGATACTAAAAATACTGAGCTCAAATCCTAAAACAAAGTGAGTGTACATTAGTTAATTACCTATGTTATTCCTAAACAACCCACAAGGAGGCCACCTTTTCAGCCTAGAACAGCGGTTCTCAACCTGTGGGTCGAGACCCCTTTGGGGCTGTACGACCCTTTCACAGGGGTCGCCTAAGACCGTCGGAAAACACATATATAACTACATATTGTTTACAGCAGCAAAATTACAGTTATGAAACAGCAACAAAAATAATTGTATGGTTGGGAGTCACCACAACATGAGGAACTGTATTACAGGGTCGCAGATTAGGAAGGTTGAGAACCACTGGCCTAGAACGTCCCAGAATGAGCAGGTACGAGCTTTCCTGAACAATTGATCACCTGTGTATCTTAGGGAGAGGGTCTGAGAGTGGAGGACATAGGCAGAGCAGACTTAATGAGAGAAAAAGATTGAAATCCAACTCATAAAACAAGATATTTAATAACACTTTAGAAAACATGAGAATGCCCTTCACAGATTTTGAATTAACTCAACCACGTAAATATTAGCATTTCTAAAAGGAAACAACTTCTGGTTAGAGTATGAATTATATTTCAATGGCAAGCTAGACAACACTCCTTCCTGTAAATGCAGCATATAAAATACCATAAACACTGACACAAGAATTGACCTCCATGTAGCAATCAGACAAAAACAATTACATAGACTAACTAATCAACCGTTACAATTCTTTTCATATAGGCAATCGATATAAATCTGATAGGTTTCGTAACAAATTATCACAAACTCAGTGGCTTAAAAAAACACTAATGTATTATTGTACATTTCTGTGTGTTAGAAGTCCAACAAGGGTCTCACTCCATAGGGCTTTATTCCTTTCTCGGGGCTCTAGGGAAGAATTCATTTCCTTGTCTTTTCCTAGCTTCTGGAGCTTGCCTACATTCCTTGGCTTATGGCCCGTTCCTCTACCTTCAAAGCCAGCAACAGTGGCAGCCCTTATAACATCATTCTGGATTCCTCTTCTGCCTCCCTCTTCTCCTTCTCAGGACCTTTGTTACTACTATACTGGGCCCACCCCGATAACCCAGAATAATCTCCCTGATTAGTAATCCTTAATTCCAATTAAACTCTCCTCTTTGCCAATTACCTAATATAGTCAAGGTTCTGGGGGAGTGAAGATGGTTGCATTATTCTTCCTACCATAATCTCTAAGGGAGATCACCTCTGAATCATATAACATTAACCTCTGGGTGTAAATAATACACTGCAATTCTTACATACCTTATTCGTTTTCTTCCAACGATTCAAAAATAGAGGAGGTGTTTGGGGGTTTTTTTGACAACTTTAGAACCTGCAAAGCAAAGGTGTTCCATGTTATTGAACAAGAGCAGAAAGAAACAATGCTATGACAGTAAGAGCTATGGGACCTGTTTACACTAGGTGGTGAAAATTTATTATCACTGATGTCAGGCTTTCTTTTGGTTCCAGGAAAAATAGGGTATCAAAATGGAATATCCATGTCAACAAGCCATATAAGGCTGTCTTCACACACCCCTGGAACCTAGCATACCATCCATCTCATCCTTTTGCATCTGAAAATTGCTGTATTTCCAAAGGGAAAAAAATATCTGCTGTATTAGCAATAAGTATCTCAGAGTGATGACTTAGAAAGTGAAGCTTTGAATAGTGTGGGTGGGATCTGAAAGCACAGACTTTGTGGAATGAATTTTTCTCTGAATAGGCTCATCTACACAGCATATTTGTTATTATATCAAACTTAAGTTAAATTCCACTACATATAAAAATACTTGGTTGCTTAACTTATTAGGAAAAATTATATGGGATATCACACCCCGCAAGAATATTTTAGAAAAATTTGTTCAAGTTCTATGTAAGTGCACTGTCTAGATCAGGGGATGGAGCCAGAAAGGTAACAGAAATAATTGGACGTGGCCAGGAAGGCGCTGAGCATACTAGAGCCCCTCGGACCCATCTGAAGAGGCCAGCCACCAGCCACCAGCCACCAGCCACTGCTGATTGTTGTCACATAAGGTCCTCTGATATTTTCATAATTAAGAAAATAAAATTTTTATGTGGAATCATTTAAATTTTCCATGTTGGCAACTAAATAATATACTGCAACCCAATGACAGACCAATGAAACACAGTAAAGGACCAAACTTAGCTTATCAGCCAACAGTTTGCATCTTCAGATCTAAATCAGCCAATCCTTGATAACTGCCTGCTATTTTACTTGACAAATCAAGAGACTAGTGTAACTTATTATCCTAAACTGTCTAATTGGATGCAAACATTATCAAAGCCTAGAAGGAAAAAAAACGTGTATACACGGATGAGATCAAGAGTCCTAGCAACTGAGGGGTTCTTTGTTTCTCGAGGGAACAGATTATGTCTTATTTTTTGTTGTGGCCCCAGCACACAGCATAATGTCTGTCACATAGTAGGTTCGAAGTAAATGTTTGTTGAATTAATGAATGACTAAACTTTAAGGAAATCTTGGTAACTCTGAGGGTTTTATTGTACTTGTTAATGTAGACAAGTAGTGGTCTAGTCTTAGAATTTGGTGTTGGCTTAGAAAGTAAAAACCCTTTGCCCTGGCCAGTGTAGCTCAGTTGGTTGGGCATCGTTCCATAACACCGAAAGATTGCCGGTTCAATTCTCGGTCAGGGCACATGCCCAGGTTGTGGGCTCGATTCCCAGTGCGGGGTATGTAGAAGGCATGCAGGAGGGAGCCAACCAATGTTCTACTCTCATATCAATGATTCTCTCTCTCTTTAAAAAATCAATAAAATTATTAAAGAAAAAAGTAAAAACCCTTCATATTTTCCATATTATCAAATATACATGTATTTATTCTAACAATTATTATATATTCCAACAATTTTTATGTTGCAATTACCAATGAGGCCTTTTATAATATAATGGGGCAAAAGGAATTTAACTGAAAACAATACTGTAACAACAACCCAAACCAAATATTTGTGTGCAATAATTTTTATGTTACAAAGCCCTTTCAATATGTGATTTCTCTTATCATCAGATCATCTCTCTAAGGCAGACAGATATAATTTCACTTTAAAGAACTTGAACTACAAGGGAAGTTAACTGATTTTACAAAGCCTTGCACAAAATTAGCAATGGAGCTGCACTTAATCTCTGGCTCAGACCAGGATGGCTCTCTCCTAACAGGAAAGCAAAGTGGAGGTGTGACAATACAGAAGTGAATCGAATTAATTAAATATGCACAATGGCACCTTCATAAACAGGAAGGGTAGGGAAGGCCTACACTGCCACAGAGGAGAAAGGAAAGTAAGAGCATGGAGAGTGTAATGTTTGTCAAGAGGGTGTGCAGACGAGTACCTACCTCATCATGACACCATTCGCATGCTGGTTGAATCAGTCAGCAAAGTGAGACAGATCAGCTGGACCTGTGTCATTTCACCCGGAAATGCATTGCTCTGTGAAATTTTCATTTCCCACGTGTGTCTGTCTCCCTCACGACAGTGAAAACTTCCTGAGGGTCACAGACTAAAACATTTACATGAAGAGCTTCTGAAGCACTCTCTACGCAGAATTCATTCAAATTTCTTGAGTGGTTAATGGGTGACGTTATATTGGTGACAGTATAACAGTGGTTAAGAACAAAGGACTTGAAGTCAGTGTTCTGAAACCATGCTGTCAATGACTAGCTGTGTGACTTTGGGCAACCTACACTGCCTCTGTGAGTCACAGTATCATTTGTGAAAAAGGGTGACAGTGATAAGACTTACTCCCTAAGTTTGTCGTGAGGATTAAATAAATTAATGCTTGTAAACACCAGCAGGACGCTGGGTACCTGACATGCACTCAGTTTTGCTACTGCAACATCCTGAAATGTCAAGTTCAGACAAGACCTGGAGCCACAGCCGGTGTCCACAGAGGCAGAGAAGGGGCATTTGCTTGGTAAACAAACTGAGACGCTGAGAGAAAACTTTAGAAAGTGACCCAACATGTATTTTTACAACAAACTTTTAATTTATCCCACATGCCATTTGGAATATAGTAATAGAACAAAGAGGAAAAAAGCATAGGAGCAGTGTGATTCGTGATCAATAGAAATGATTACAAACAAAAGTAGTTTTCAGACACAAGCTCACCGACAGAAAGCCTTGTGGCAGGTCAAGGTTTACAAAGGAGTGAAGACCTGAGAAGTGGCTGGTCACAGAGGGGGGGACATTCAAAAGGAGGAATATGTGCAATATTCTTTTTTAAGTAATTTCCTTTCTTCCCAGAAAGTTTAACTGTCATCAACGAATAATCTTATCGAAGTGCAGCTAACTTACTTTCCAGTGTGTACTTGTTCTTAGATCTTTAATCTTTCAACATACATTTTCAGATCCTAATGGCTCCTAACACATAGACAAAAAGAAGGCAGTGATAGAAGTACATTCAGGGGAGAAAGAGAAAAAAGAGAGTGTTAATTTCCTAAACGGAAATGACACATACTAAATGATCTCTAACATTCTTAGAGTGGTATTTGTAAGAGAAAACTAAAGGCAAGCAATTAGAACGTTTTCTACCCAAAAGTAGCCGATAAAGGAACAATCACAGAGCAAGTATCACACATCAATTTAGAAGAGAATCTGATGTCAAAACAAGGTCATAAACTACATCAATGACACTTCTCCTTTTTGTGTCTTTAGTATGTATAGGAGCCAATTCATAGAGCCTGACAATTTTTGTCAAGTAACACTCTAAGCCTGAATTTTCAGCTCTGGGGCTCAAGCAGAGGGATGATGGCCAAGCTCTTGGAGCATCAGCTCTTGGGCAACCAGATGGACCAGCTCTTTCAAGCCTCAGATGTTGATTCAGAGAACATCCTCTATTTCTCCTTTGATTCCTTCAGGGACTGGGGCACCTTCCATTGGCCTGGAAGACACCTCCACTGGAGTTTCCTCTCCCTGCCTCCCGTTACCTTCCTTGGTCTCCTCATGGATCAAGTGTTGCTGGCAGTCCTGCTCTGAGTTACTCCGGACATAGCCGGGTAAAGTCACGTGGCTGTCGGGCTGCTGGCCGGCCGTCTTGGTCGCTCTGCCAGAGAGGAGGACCATGCGAGTGCTGGCCGCCATCTGCGAGTGGCTGCTGGTGCTGGGCGTCATGGTGGTGAGCACGGAGCCATACCTGTGGCCGCCGCATGGGGGCGTCCTTTTCCAGTCGATGGAGAGATTCCACCGGCTCCACATCTTCTTCACCTCAGACTGAACCTAAACCACAAGAACCATATTGTGCATCAGAGACCATCAGGGAGACCCTGCAGCTTGCTGAGACGAGTGTTTGCCCTGATTTCAATGACAGTAATAATCATCCATTAAGGGTCCACTGTGTGCCAGGGATTGGCATATATATTCCCTCTGGGTCTCAAAAAACCTTGAAGGCAGGTGTTACTCCTGAAGATGAGCAAACTGAGGCTTACAGAGAGGAAAGGGGACTTGTTCAAGGTTAGTATTTTTTTTAGTATGTTTTTATTGATTTCAGAGAGGAAGGGAGAGGGAGAGAGAGAGAAACATCCATGATGAGATAGAATCACTGATCAGCTGCCTCCTGCACATCCTCTCCTGGGGAGTGAGCCTGCAATTTGGGCATGTGCCCTTGACCAGAATCGAACCCAGGACCCTTCAGTCTGCAGGCCAACACTCTATCCACTGAGCCACACTAGCTAGGGCCAAGGTTAGTATTTTAATGGAGGCTGAAATACAGCCGATAGAAATATCTGACTTGTGAGAGAGGAAAAAGAGGAGGGGGTTGGAGGAGAAAGAGAGATAAATAGTGGCAGCTGTGGCTGAGGAATGGCATGAAAGGGACTCAACCTGAAACGTGCCCTCCACCCCATCACCTTGCAGAGGCAGGCGGACCGAAGGAGGAAAGAGGGTGCACACTGAAATGCAGGCCCTGCTAATGCGTTCTCAATAGGGTGGGGCTCGTTTCTGTTCCTTCAGCTGGAGAGTCAATGCCACCGCTAGCGCCCCTTTCGTGGGAAAGCTTATTGGGAATTCCCAGGGGGAATGGAAACCCGGGGAGCTGATGTCCCCCTAAAAGAACAGCTCAACCCTGGACGAACAGAAACTGTCCCACCACCACCTTGTAGTTTTAAAAAATGTCAAAGTGTTCTAATCAATTTTGTCCCAAGAATACATATTTGAGTTTCTGATAGACCTTGAAATTGATTAATAAGTTCAAGCATTAACTGGAATATGAAGCTCGGCGTCCTTCCAGGTCTCAATATGCATTCCAGGGAGTTGGTTTTTGATATCAGGGTTTATAACTGAATTGACCTTAGTTTACTGA